AATATATATTTATGAGCACCAACGAATACTACTACATCCACATATACATATGTAGCAGCATGAGCAAATGTGCCTCAACCGATTTTGTTGTCGACAAATAAACAAATAAAGTGCAACCAAATTGAAATCACCCCAAGCACTTAAGCACAAATATACATATATTCACTGGTGTACCTACCTACATAGTATGTGTGCGTTTGTGTGTGTTTGTGTGCGACTCATTGATCGGAAAACCATTTAGGCCTACAGCACGGAAGTGAAGCGCGAAACGAGTGCGGAAATTGACGCTTTAAGCCATTAATGTCAATTTAAGCGCATATAATTGAATATTTTTGCAGCTAACAGAGATATGTATATTAATAATAAATAAAACGGGAATGTGTGGGAGGGGAGGTTGTTGCGAATGAGGCGAATTGAATGGAGTAATTGAGAGTATGCTTGTACTGCTCAGCTGCCAAATACTTAGCGACGTTGTAGGCGTGTGCCACTTGATTGATTGCTCACCATCAGCTGAGTGCGCCCCACAAAGGCGGCATTAAACGCATTCGATTGGGGTTGTTTTTTCCCTTTTTTTTAACAATACAGCAGTAAATATAAGTACATATGTATGTATGTATGTAATTAAATATTACATGCTTATGTAAATATGTATGCCAATATTGATGAGGTGCACTTAATCAGCATTTATCTATATAAGTACACGGCGAAAGGTGTTTTGTCAATATGCCGGGCATTGCGTAAACTTGGTTGGCATATCAATTAGTGCACAGCTGTGATGCTGCCAATAGCAATAAGCGCTCACAGAGTTGGCACTGTGGACAATGTGGGGTTCTGTCAAGATTTCCTTGGACTTAGGTTCCGCGGAACCGTGACATAAGTTCCATGGAGGATACGTCGAAATATTACTACCATCGATAAATGTTAACTAGTTAAAGAGATAAATACGAAAACATAAAAATGGACCATATGAATAAAAACTAGGCAATTTTGTTTGATTTGAAATTGAGTAAAAGGTCTGAAATTTTAAGAGAAGACAATTGCTTATTTTTTATTCACATGGTCCAATGTGGGTGTTCAAACTTTACCTCTTTATCAGGTTATCAGGTCATGTGATTAAAAATATAACTACATTATCAGATAACCTGATAACCAGACAAGTGTGAACACTAAGTAAACACTTTTGCATTCGAAGAAGCCAGTAGTCGGAATATTTATTCCACACTGAAGTGGGTACCTCAAAAATGTGGTTCCTGAATGCCTCAATGGCCTCTTCAGATATTGAAAAACGCTCACCATGCATTTTGATCTTAACAAATGGGGAACGACAAGAAGGTTTTTTGTGATAATTCAGGTGGATATGGGCAATGAGTCATTATTTCGACGACTTTTTTCTCTTTCAAATAAACAACCGTTCCATGTGCAGCGCAGCGCAGGCATTGTCGTATTATTTTTTCTGCGTTCGTCGATGACTTCGTACAGGTTTTATGAAAGCAGAAAGCGAAATTTTTTTCGATCTGCTCCGTGAACCACACCCAAAAAAAAATTTCTCTTAATTGAAGAACAACAGCAATCAAAATGAAGAAAAATGGGAACGAAACAGCACTAAAGAAGTTTTATCCACTTTTCATGCCCAACATTTCTTCAAAATGATAGATTACATCCACGGTTCCATATTTTCGTGTACGTTTTTACACATTCCAAAGAAAAATTACGCATTCGGGAGAACTTGTTACTCACTCATTCGGAAGAATTTTCGACCTTAAAGTACGGAAAGTTTTTCTTTGATCCAGAGATGGATTTTTGGTTCAGTGCAACCACTTTTGTTGGATTTTGCTTATTTTTGAAACACTCGAACAGTAAATTGTTTTTTTTTGTTTTTGTTTCGAGCTTATATGCATAGATCCAAGTTGCGTCACTTGTTACAATACTCCAATCGTTTTCAGAAGCACCACAAATTATTTTGTGAGCATTTCTTTGTACCAACCCACACCAGCCTCTTTTTGAGCTCCGGTCAAATTGCGTGGAATCTAACGACAGCAGACTTTTTCCCCTACTAAGTGCTCATGCAAAATCTAGGATGCCTCTATCTTCGAACGCCGACCGATGTGCATCATTTCCGAATTCTCAAAGTCTAGAAATTTGTTTCAATTGTAGCCTCTTATTGTATGCGCAAGTAATTTTTATGCAAAAACAAAACCGACTTGTATATTATTAGTATATAGAAATCGGCTAACGTGGCCCAAAGTTATGCTTTTTTTTGAAGTCGGCTAAAAAGTAAACTGAAAGGGCGTGGCATTAGGAAGAAATTTGTGTATATTCAAGTTTTTGCCTTCAGCAATTTCCACCTTCGTCTACATTTTACTATCAGCAGCCATTTATTTTAAGCCTTGAAGTAAATAGATCTGACGGTAGGTGCAGCAGCGCGGGAGTATCTAATACCATGTTTCGTAGAGTTCGTGTTCAACACACGACAAGTGACCGTGGATTAAATTCTACTCAACTATACTTTGAAAGAAATTATTTCTCTGGAGTTACTTATGCTCCCCCCTCCAATCAGCGGTAACGTTTCCAGACCTTCTCAACATTAGTTATGCGTGTTATGCTGAATTTTCACTAGGTAACAAGATTACAAAAAAAAATTTGCGGCATTTAAAAATGCCTTGTGGAAGCAAAAGGAATATCCCTTTTCACAACTTTTAAGGCAGAGTATTGAAAATACTTTTGATGGAAAGATGCTAGAAAACACCTAACCACTCTTTATACATCACTTAATTTGCCGTTTTTAACAGAAATGAAAACAAACAACCTTACAAAGGAAGCTAGGAAATTCACACATAGTCCGCTACACTACATCGGGGGGTGGGGCTTAGGAGGCGTAAATCACTGCATGGCTTTCTCTCTAGAAGCGATATGGTAAAGGCCCAACTGTTACTAGCAAACACAAAGGCATTTGCTCGCGTACTGGTCTTTTACACCGATTTAAGGAGCTGTTCACCAACAGCTGTGTGCAATTAAATTGAATGAATAAGTGCCAATTGGCAAAATATGCTAGAAATTCTACATTGCCATTTAAATTAAATTCCAAAACTCCCAAATGGCACGATGTCGACGTCAGTTATGACAACCACTGTACCAGAGTGGTGGTGGTGGTGGTGGTGTGCACACAATTAAATGAATATGTATGTATGTATGTATGTACTATATGCAAACACTAAAAGCGTAAACATTTGAGAACAAATTTGTTAACTTATTTTCGATGCGAAAACAATTTAGTGGCAATTGTACAATTTTACATATTTAGTATTGCGCCCAACACAAACGAACAACGCAATATGTAAAATCTATGCAGAATTAGAGCAGCACTGGAGCAAAGGACGAAGGCGCGCAGAGTAGTGCAAAGCGATGGGGCTGCTAATTACTAGCTGGCTTAATGATATTTGAGTGTACGCACTAAATAATTTAAAATTCTGTTAAATGCTGTTGCAGAAGTTCACTGTTTACTTTTGTTGTTCGCGCTGTAGAACGCTATTATTTTCAGCAATGCTGCTCGTTCAGGAGCTGTGAGTGTCCGAGCGTTTCTTGCGCTTAATTAAAACTTGTCGCCAGCACATTCGAAGGCTTTTTTTTGTGGCTCAACTAGTTGTGAGTGGAAAGGCGCTGGTGGCATGGTTGCTTGCCATGGACTAAGCGTTTCAGAAGTTGTATCGCAAACGATCTTCAAAAGTGACACAATTCAAAATTTGGCATATTTGATATTATGCACTTAAAATGTACACAGAGCTTTTAGTTATTTACCCTTCAACAAAAGCTGGAGCAAGTTTTTTTTTTTATATTTTCCTTCCTTGCCCATATGATTAGCAAGTGCTAAGAAATAGTTATCCGCATTTTTTGACGAGCGTGTACATAATTTTGAGTTGTGTCACCTTTGAAGATCGTGTGCGGTATAAGGCAAATAGAAGGAATAGTGGTGGTTGTGAGGCGAATCGCAAACTTACTTATATAAAATAAGCCTATACACTTGTCCAGGGACCGAACATAACAGTTATTGATGAAAACTGTCATGGGAAAATTCACTATGAAGGAAATGTTCTACAACTAAGTGAAACATACCAATCGATTTTGTTTTGCACCGAGACTCAAATTTGAAAATAAATTTTTATTTGCAATTTTTATGCAAAATTTAAAAAAATAACAATTATATTTGATTTTTATATTATAAATCCAAAATAACAATTATTTTTGATTTTTATATTATATGGCTTAGATAACAGTTATTGAAGAGTTTTATTTATAAAAGTCATCAATAAAAATCAGTCAGTGACTTTTACTTTTAAAAGTCATTAATATAAATCAGTGACCGACTCTTATTTTTTAAATCAATCATATAAAAGTCATTAACATTTTTCCCAGTTAAGAAGGTGTTGGAAAACAAAAGTTTACTACGACTTATTCAAATGACTTTTATAAGTATGATTGAAAATATAAAGATCAGTGACTGATTTTTATTTATGACTTTTTTAAATAAAAGTCTTCGATAGCTGTTATTTAAGACATATAATTTAAAAAACAAAAATAACTGTTATTTGCAGATTATTTAAATAAAAATCAAAAATAATTGTGATTTTCGATTTATAAAATAAAAGTCAGAAATAACGGTTATTTAAAGAGTAATTAAATAAAAGTAAAAAAATAATTGTTAAAGAGTGACTTTTTTAATAAAAGTTGTAACTGTTACGGTCCCTGCTCTTGTCTATACATCTGCATACAAACAAAAAAAAAATGTTGATTTGCACACTTCCGACAAATTCTATTTAAATACTCGTCTTCAATTGCTAAGTAATTTGTGTTTAACGAAAGGTAGTAAGGAGGTTGCATGCCTCCCATTACGGCCGCAGCTGTTGCCGCATTCGCTCAAATTGAAATGATTATGCTCCAGCTGATGATAAGCAATTAAATTTAATTGTTCAAAAAATCACTTTCACAACAATACCTTCACTTACCTTAAATCTATGTACTGGTAGACGGACGTTATGCCCAAATTAAAATAAACTGGCACAAAAACGAAGCACACAATGGGATACGCACTGACCATGCCGTAGATAATCTCCCACATTGCCGAGCCACGGTAGAACAGCTCACTGGGGTAACCTGTAATAAGCGTTTAAAATGTATACATGCAAATGTGGATATATGTATAAATGTATATATATATATATATATAGTTAAAATATGCAAGCACACTCAGTGGCACTTACTGCATAAGTTGTTCTTAAAAGAATAAAAAATAAATAACAGTGAATTTATTATATTAAATTTTCACAATAGCGGGAAGGGTGTTGCGTGGGTAAACAAAACTGAAAATTAAAAAAAAGTCCACCCGAGCGCCAGGTAAGTTATTCAATTTGCATAATGTGCGTGTAATCTCTCCAAGAGACCGTCCGAAGGTTTTTTTTTATTTTTATTTTTATGGTTAAATTTAAATTGTTTGCTTCAGCAGCAGTGAAGGAGCGACACAAAAAAATTATGTTAATATGTATGTAGTTATATGCAAATCCTACATAAATATATTTCAGTTATTTAAAAGGTGCTTGACTCAGTAAGCGCAACAAATCACCGGATTAACATAAATAAATATATGCAGAGCGGCTAGTTGGCCGGTTCTGCTGTGGTATTACGAAGCTCTTCTCCTTCTTAATTCGTGCAACATAATGAAGCACCTGCGCGTAACTGTGTATCAGTGCGTGTTCAATATCTAACTGTTCTATAATTGGTGTATTCAGCTGATAAAAATTTAAATTTTGGCTAAAGAAGGAAATCTCTCATTTTATATAAGAAAAGCTTCAATAAATTGGGTAAATGAATTAGTGGAAATATTAGAACGGTGGTTTGAAGGTTTAATGATTTGCGGAGATAAGAAGCGTACTTGGAGCTTTAAATGGATAATTACAAGGATATAACTACCTTGAATGAATCCACTTAAATTCCTTAAATTTCTCCATCGCATAAAACAAATATTAAACCCCCAAAAAAGTTTGTGCTTTCCGTCGTGTATTACTTCATCAGTGATGGGCATACTTAAATCCTTTTAACTAATAAACTTAAAAAAAAAAATCTGGATGTACATATATGAGTTGCTAAATACTACAACTGAAATAATTAAAAGTTTATTATCAGGGTGTTTCGAAGATTTTTAAACATTTAACGGTTCAGGAAGTGAAATAATCCGACTAATATTATAACTGAAAATTTGTTTGTTTGTGCGGAAACGACCAAACGGATTTGCATGAAATTTTGCAGACAGATAGAGTTGCCACCTGTTAATAAAGTTAAAATAAATTAATAAGTTCAATCAAACATTACAATAGAGATGTCAAAATGAAATTTCGAGCACAGATGGTTTATGTCCCGGATTGAAAAATAGGCTACTTCCTTAACCACATTCCCGATCAGAACCCAATTTGGCACACTTACTACAGACTTCCTAAAAATTGTCAAATACTGAAAAAAATTTATAAATCAAGGACGAGGTGGCCCTTCCATAGAAATTTGAATTTCCATACTGCATAAATATCTCTGAGGGTATTTGTGTGAGACTACTAGAAATTAGTGTGGAGATAATAGAAAAAGGTTATTGGACATATGCATATGGCAGAGGACTGGAACTTGCTACCGAGGTATGGAGGTTATTCGAAAAGGGCGCGTGGTACCTCCCGTAAAAATTTATTATTTAATACTCTGGAGGAGTTTATGGTATGGTATTTGAAATTTGTTATGAAGATTTATTTTATCCGTACCGCACTAACAGAAAATATTTGCCATATAATCTAAAAGTGTCATGATGCATACCTCTGGATGTACTTAGCTGCAGTACTGAGAAGTGGTATTTTATCATTGCCGGGTTACTGAAATTGAGTTGAAAATATTAAGACCTAGGGATGTTAGTTTTTCTCGCATCGATGCATCGAAGCTTACATCGATGAAGTTTCTTCCACTATGGAAATAAAACATTAAGAACCTTTTTGGGTATAATAAAGTGCAAGTTAGCCAAAGAAAAATTTAAAAAATCAAAACAATTGAAACTGGCACTTTATTATACTAACATCTCATGCGCTATAAAACCGCACCTTCCTCTCTATGAACTTTAGACAAAGCGATGTTTGGCCGTTTGGTACTATGGATCTATATTCTTCGGAGTATTCCAGTATTTTTCCGGGATTTGGAGATCATTTCGGGGTTTTGGGGATTGTTGCGGTATTTTTGCGGGATTTCTCGGGAATATCCACTATCTAACACTGATACCCGGCAATATCTTAGTTAAAGCACTTAAAAGTCAAGTAATACTTATTTTTACAACCATCTTCTTCCCGTTTGAAAAAAATACCGCTTTTATTTTGTCGCCTACATACATATGTATGTACATAGGCTCCCTAATGAGGTTTAATTGCTTGACACTTACCCAACACTGTTCGCACACCCAGCGTGCCGCGTGCGATTGATAGCATAATTGCCACAATTGATATGCCGCCTGTGGCAAAGACATAATCAGCCTTACTACGTTGCTTTTTCTTTCCAAAAATCCGTTTCCATAGTGGACCGAAGACGGTGATCAAAACGAAGGCCACGAACATGAAGTAGTCCCAGCCAAGTGTACGCAGCTGTTTTGCCATTTCGTTGTTGTTGTTTTATTTTACCTCTTAAAATTTATAGTAGGAACTGCAAGAAAAAGAGGGTAGAGAGAGGATAGAAGACAATTTTATGAAAATGCTTTGCAACAGATTATTATTAACTTAAATTCAGCAAAATATGTCTTTTATTTATGTAATATTTTCAGGTTTCTTAAGAGACCTGCAAACACAATAAGTTAAATAATTGGAAGTTTGTAGTAATATGTTTTGTGTTACAACATAAAGAATTTACTGGAAATAGCTAATAATTGCAAATATAATGTGAATGCCAAATCTCCAAGGTAATGGGACACTTAAAACTGATGCGGCTAAATAAGAGATGTTAAAGCAGGGTGCACTCGTAAACAGCTTTCGCTAAAAACGAGGAATTTTTATGGAATTTTTCAACCACCAAAACCGATTTAGCGCGAAACTTCACTATTGGAAAACTATAGTCGAAATATTTTTACGAGTATATACATATATTAAAACTGTTTACTAGAAAATAACGGAACTTTCCATTGTTTGTCAACGTTTTATTTTTGTCAATTAAACAATCCTTGTTGTTGTGGTTGTGGTTTTAGCGGCTACTAAACCCCGCTCGAGTCGGCTCATCCACCTGCGTTGTCGTCTGGTTTAGCTAAGGGAAGACCCAGGAAGTGCGCCACTTCGACAGGGGCTGTCCATAAGGATAGGGGCGTTAGCTGGGTGGGGTTTTGGAGGCATGTGAAGAGGTGCCGTGAGTCGTGTGGTGACCATCCGCATGCCGGCCACTGTTTGGGCACATTGTCATTAACTCTACTCAGGTATGAGTTTAAACTGTTGCAATAGCCAGTGTGAAGTTGGGCTATTGTCCCGTCAACGTCAGGTCGATAGTTTATATTTTACCTGCCTGTCGGTATGCGATTGGGTCCAGAGGTCGTACAGATGCCTTCCGACCTGCCTTGGCGAGGGCTCTTCTGCGAGCAGTTGACTGTTCGGGTGCCCGCGTCTGTGGCACCCTCTTAGGAACTACTAGCGGAGTTCCGAAATGCTCCGAGCATCTGGGCCTCGTCGTCGAGGTGGTATTAAGGCGACATCAGAAGCCATCCAGTCGCAGTCCGAAGTGCCGTGTTCTGGCTAGTCTGTAGTTTCGTCCACTGCGTCCTACTCGTCCCCGGCGACCACACGGGCCTTGCATAATTTAGAACGTCGTCAGAAACCCTGGCTATCTCCATATTTTCGTCTTCCCCATTTATGACCTTAAACAATTTATGCTCTCCATAAAAGAGTTGTTCACTTTTGTAATACTTTTTTTTTATTACAAACATTATCACTGCACTTAATACCACTCACCAAAATTTGCCTGAAACTATGAAAGTTTTTCGATTACTTTAATTTTCCCTTTTCGATGTTTTCATATTTTTAAATACGTTTAAGTTTGCAGTTCAGTGCTCAGTTTTGCATTTGTTTTTATAAGCCATTTACTATATATGTACATATACATATGTATGTGCATAGCCCGTATTCGCATAGATATTTAATCCTTTTCTTGCGCACAAAATTTGTCACCTTACGGGCACAATGCGCTTTTTTGCTGTCAGTTCTCTGTCTCTTAACGTGCCATACAACAATTAAATAAGCTTAACGATGCAAAGTGAACTAATCTTTTAATTCCATAAAAGACCGTTATACTCGTACCGTTAGTAGGAAATGGTCATTCTTATACGAATTACACCAGCATCGTAGTTGTGGGTGTGAGTCTGGAATGGGTCTTAGTGAAAAGTTATTTTAGCGCAACTAGAAAGCACTTGCAAAAGAATTTATGTCTTTTATTAAAATGTAAATTTATAGGGGTTATGGTGAACGCTACGCGAAAGTACTATACACAGACTTTTTATTTTTCTTTGCAATGGGGAAAAAATCGAAAGCGTAACCCAAAGACCTAACTAACGTAAATAAACTTGCTATCGTCTTTGTATAGGGTAAGGTTTTTTCTACTTTTCAAAATTTTTTATTCTTTTTATTTTACTACGTACAAAATACTTTTAATATATACAGAAAATTTTTTGGCGTAACTGTAAGCATTTCAGCTCTACAATATTGCACCAAGTGTTGCGTTGTAAGATCACGGTGTGCCTGAATCAACCATAAATGAAAGGTTATTGCATATGGGTTCTGTTAGACAATGAAAATACAAACTGTTTGACTCCTCAATAAAAAAAAAAATCGAAAAAATCGAAAAACACAATTTTTTAGTGTAAATATTTTGCACATTAATTTATATTTTATCTAGCAAATAGCCGGCGTGCTTCGCTGCGCCTTTAAAGTATTATTGTGCTTTTTGATATCCGTATTGTAGTATGCCATAATTATTTTATCAATTTAATTGAATAGCATTTTTCAAACAGGTGGCAAGCTGCATTAAAAATATTTCTGGCAGTAAACTTTGTACATGAAGTGCCACGCCCCTTCTCAAATAACGCCCAATTTTCTCTTGGAATATGGGATTGGTTTTATATACCTCCATACCATAAGTTCCAGTTCTCTATTATAAATATCTCCAGAGATATGCAGTATGAAAAATTCCGCTAGCATGCCAGGTGCCACACCCCATTGTCTAATCGTGATTAAAACTATACTATATTTTAAATTGAGCTAATTAACAACAGTGTGCGAAATTTCATGATGATGGGTTGTTAAAGCGTGAAAGCGTAACAAACAAACAAACTCACTTTCGAATTTTAAACTACTACTTTTTACTACTACTTTTACTACTTTTATTTAAAATGAATTCATGCATACAGCCATGTAAAAGTTTAAGCTAAGAAACTGCAATATTATGATAGAAAAAAATTTTGCAATATTTCTCAGAATTTCTATTAATGCGCTATGGTTCGAATGCCAGGATTTGCAGCATAAACGATAAGGAAACAAGCTTAAAGTCTGAAATTTGGTACATAAGTTTATAGCCCTAAATTGTCGATATAATTGAAGCTCCGATTAATATGATGCCTACTATAAATTTCGAATGGCGGGTTTAGTTGAATGCGTGCAAAAAACTAAAAACGCAAATTTAATTGAATTGAGTTCTATGTAGCCTCCCCCTCATCATAATTTTTTAGGAAAAAAAAAACAATTTCGACATACTAAGCTCTTATCTATCGTATGTGGAAATACGCTGCGTATGAGTAACATTAAACAACTAGAATCTTATAGTGTCCTACGGCACGTATGAGTGATGGAGAAGGTGTAATTTCTATAGCTACAGTTTATGGCTGTCCATTCGCTCAAGTAGAACAAATTTTCTCTAAGAAATGACCCACATTATGGATATGGAAAAGAGAGTAGACCTTATTGATTTACGAATTTTTTCAGTAGGCCAACTTATGAACAATTTGCTCTCTAGACAGAGGAGAGGAGAGGAAATTAACTTCTGTGACGATAATTCTGAATGAAAACTCTTTTCCTGCAATGTGCTTTGTGGAAACAAAACTGCGACCGAACTATTATTGACAAAATTAAAAAAAAAAAACAACTTATATATAAACAGAATGTTTGCACATGCATATGTATGTAACAACAAAATACATACATATGTTTCCATGTATTTGTGTGTTTGCTAGCAAACACAAACAGGCGATGCATGTGCACCCACGGCAAGCCATACATTTTAAGCTGGATAATACGTCTACTCTTTCATTTTCCTTCTTCCTGAACATATTTCGAGCTTACTGCGGTCGAGTTTGCTTCGTGAGCAATCATGCAGGAAAAGTTGTGTTCATTTTTTTTTTTTTGGCTTTATTATGTTCTTTCTTTATTTAAACTCGGTTTTATTTGTGGTTAGCTGGAATTGGTGTCGGTGCAAATGTGAACCGGTAATTGCTACCCTGGCGTGTACGCTCCAACATACATAAATATGTATGAGAGGACAAATGTTGAAAGTGGAAAAAGTAAAATAAAACACTCGTTTGCTAAACCAAACTTGTGCAAGTTAATAAATATCTATATGTGCATGTCTATGCATGTGCTAACATGTTTTTCTGCTCGCATAGTTTTTTTTGTGTGAAATGCTTTTGAGTTGTGCCCGAACACACACATCACAGCACTCTTCCTGTATCGATTGCTACATTGCTTTATCAATGCTGTTACCATTGTTTTTTTCTCCGAAATAAAGGATGAAACAAAGTTATACAAACTTGCAGGCAATGTACGTTTAAGTTCAAGTTTAAGTGAAATTGTTTTGTTGTTAAAGATAACTTAAAGTTGAGTTGCTTGGCGCACAGTTTCGTAGCATCTACATTTAAACTTTTGCAGAGTCTGAGGATATTTGTTTTCTAAGTTTTTGTTGATATTGAGTGAGCGACAATTTTGCATTTGCTATGCTCATTAAACTTTTCCTTCCAGGAGCTCAGTTCATCTGCTATTCTATTAAATTGTTGCATTGTTTCTTATGAGGCGCATTTAAGGCGACAAAATCAAGTTCATTTTTTTGCAAATGCAACTTTAATTGCTGCTTTAAAAAAAAAAGTGATATGAATACTAAACGCCTACTAATAAATATGCCGTAGAGTTGTAGTATTTCACACAAAATGTGAATGCTTTCTTACCGCAACCTATACCTTCTTAAATGTATTTCAGTTGCAACCAGAGAAAATTCTCACCCACTTACCTTTCCGAAATGCATCACATGAAATCACGCTGTGACTATTAGCATAGAAGACCATTTGACTCAATGCCCAAAGCATAAAGCTATCACGACCTGACAATGCCAATAAAAATATCAAAACCACAGCAAGTTTTCCAAAAAAAAAATAAAATATCTCAATTTTAAGCGAACATGCAAAGTGTAGAGCAAGTCCCACCGCCTGCTTCTCTGCCCATCCCTCCGCCATACACAAACCCAAGTGAGACCACAAGCAACGCTTCCAAAATCTACTAGTAAATCAGATGTAAGGCCGCGGTTCCTGATTTGGCTTGCACTGATAACCGACAAATTGAATATGGTGCTCTTGGCAGGCGATCGAGGGGGATTGACCGTAAGGGCGCACGGCATACCATGCCTTCTTC